CCCAGGGCAAGCAGCCTCCTGAAAACCTTAACTTTATTTTATTTCTTAAACAGGAAGTGGGAAAATGTGGAGAACACAACATTCCTGGGTAAGCTCCAACTGCAGCTTCTCATTCCTGTTTAACTCTGGGCTTGCATTTTGTTAGAGATGCAGCCAAAACAAGGCTGCAAGATTCCTGTTCCCTCTGATCTGCAGCCACTGCAGAGAGCAGGAGCCAGCCCTGGGGGAGGAACATCTGCTCCCTGTTCACAGAGAGGGCACAGAGCAGCTGCTGAGCATCCCTGAGAATGCCAGCCCCTGGGACAGCTCCATCCCAGCATCCCTGGGAATCCCAGCCCCTGGGACAGCTCCGTCCCAGCATCCCTGACTCTCTGGAGCAGCTCCATCCCAGCATCCCTGGGAATCCCAGCCCCTGGGACAGCTCCATCCCAGCCCCTGGGACAGCTCCATCCCAGCATCCCTGGGAATCCCAGCCCCTGGGACAGCTCCGTCCCAGCATCCCTGACTCTCTGGAGCAGCTCCATCCCAGCATCCCTGGGAATCCCAGCCCCTGGGACAGCTCCGTCCCAGCATCCCTGGGAATCCCAGCCCCTGGGACAGCTCCATCCCAGCATCCCCGACTCTCTGGAGCAGCTCCATCCCAGCATCCCCGGCTCCCAGGAGCGGCTCCATCCCGCAGGGCCAGCCCGCACGGGCAGCAGGGCGTGCCCAGCACGGCCGCAGCTCCTCCCAGCACCAGCGCTGCCGCACGCAGCAAACCAGGGACACCGGGGAGCCGCTGCTCATCCCAAACTCCCGTCCCGTTCCCCTTACAGACCCCTAAAGGGACACAGCCTTCCCCTGCGGGTGCCGGCAGCGGCACAGCCCGGCCCCGATCCGCTTATTCCTCCGCCCCGCATCCCGGGAATCCCGCCCCGCATCCCGGGAATCCCGCTCCCGGCCGGTCGCAGCCGGCACACCGCACCCAGCCCGGGCACCTTGGCCGAGCTCTCCCCGCTCCGCTGGCAGCGGTTCCGCTCCTGCAGCTTCTCGGCGATGTCCTGGGCGAGCTGGCGAGCGGCGGCGAGCAGCGGCAGCCTGCGGGACCCGGGATGGGATGATGGGATGATGGGATAATGGGATGGGATGGGATGGGATGGGATGGGATGGGATGGGATGGGATAATGGGATGGGATAATGGGATGGGATAATGGGATGGG